CACACACACACACACGCACGCACGCACGACACACACACACACACACACACACACACACACACACGATATCACTCATACGCGCGTACAACACCCTCCTCGCCTGCACCGCACCTTCGACGATGATGAGCTTCTGCTGCGGAGATGTGCGGGCAAAAACAATTTCGCGGTGCTGTGCGAGAATGCGATCAAGGTCGGCCGCGCTCATGCGGGCCAGCTCCGACCCGTCCTGCAACCACGAGCAGTTGGGGAAGCAGGTATGGGCAGGGACAGCACAATACAAGCAGCAGGCATATGTGTGTGAATGTGTGAGAAAGCGAATGTAGGAGCGTCAGCGCGTTTTGTGTCCCAGTGGTCGATGGAGTCAGTAGACGATAGATGAGCACCTCCCTGCAGTGCGCGTGCATGTGGTCAATCCAATTTCTCACGGAGATCACGCGCACCTTGATGACGATGGCACCCGCCTCTGCAGGGTCGACGGATGACACATCCACTCCCCGCTCTTCTGCAATGTCATCAGCAGTTTTCTCGGAGTGGATGATGCCAACTTGCTTTGCAATGGCCTGCGCCGTGATGGGGTGGTCGCCAGTGACCATGATGACCTGTTTGCAGTCACATTTGTCGTGTTGTGAGGATTGTGTGAAGGCGTGTTCATTGTTGAGCCATAAAAAATCCACGAAAACTAAAGTGCGCATGCACACATCGCGCGTGAAGCCCTCCTCCTCCTCCCACGAACACACACACACACACACACACACACACACACACCTTGATGCCTGCTGATCTACACTTTGCGACAGCGGCGGGCACGGTTGGACGCGGGGGGTCGATGAGGGCAAGAAGACCGCAATACACGAGATCGTCCAGCGGAACGTTCTCCGATTGCTTGCCAAAGTCAAATCCTGTCGGATATGTCTCCAGTGGAAGACGCAGTGTTGCGAATCCTAGCACACGCTCGCCATACTTGCCGAGTTGTAGGCAGTTTGCATCGAACGTGCGGCGGTCGTCATCTGCGGGAATGCAGGGCGCAACCAGTGTCCGCGCAACATGAGGGCACACCACGCGTCTGCGCACAGCACGACACAACAGATGCAATACAATCCCGGACATGCAATGCTGTGCACACCTAACACACCACACGTCATGCGTATGATGTGATCATGCTACCTGTGAGAGGCTCGATGTTGCCGTTGCGGTAAATGTGGGAGCAGCGCACGAAAATCCGCTCCGGCGCTCCCTGAACACATTCGCACACACACACACACACACGCACACACACACGCACACACACACACACACACACACACGCACACACACACACACACACACACACGTATGAGCTGAGCACGCATGACATTCAGCAACCATGGCAGTGCAGCATCCGCATGAGTCGTCCACGTGAGACCACACGATCAGCAACCGCAAGTCCGGCACGTAGCCGCACCTTCATGACGAGGAGATAGCGGGGGTCGTTGTCTGGGGTTGTGTGCACCGAAACCTGGTACTTGTTCTTTGAGTTGAATGGGATTTCAGCAACAATTGGGTATTTCTTTCTCTCAGCCACAACAATTGACTCGTCCGTGAGCACGGGGTCATCCAGCACCGTCTGTGCGCAGCGCTCCGTGAACTTGAAGATGGCGCATTCTGTGGATTACACACGAAAAGGATGTTGTTGTTGTTGTTGTTGTTGTTGGTAATGTTGTTAATGGTGGTGGTGTGTTGAAAAGGTACCAGAGGCAGTAACTACCACACATGTACACACGAACACACATGTACACACGAACACACACACACGCACGCACGCACGCACACACACGTACACACGCACGCACACACGTACACACGCATGCACACGTACACACGCACGCACACACGTACACACGCACGCACACACGTACATACACACGCACGCACATACAAACACATGCACACACACGCACACACACATGACGAGGCGCCATGGCGTGGTACCTGAAGCGTCACCGACGGTGCTTCGCAGTAGGATGGGGAGGTCCGAATTTGCGTCGCCGTTCCTGTGGTGTTTTGTGCTGTCGGTCTTGTTGGGGCCGTTGCCCGCACGGAAGCGCGCCTGTTGTTTGTTACGAAGCAGGTGGTGTGTGCGGTGGAAGATGGGATATATGCGAGCAAATGCAAGTGCATGTTCTCATCTCGGACAGACAGACACACACACATACAGACACACACACACAGACACATACAGACACACACACAGACACATACACACACACACACACAGACACATACAGACACACACACACACACACACACACACACACAGACACACACACACACACACACGGAATCGCTACCTTGTTGCAGAGGACGGCGACGCGGAAGAGCGCGCGAAAGCTTGTGTTGACTGCAAAGGGAAGGTCCTTCTCCACATCTGGGTCGGTGTTGACCTCGCGAATCTGCTGATCAAAGCACACGTGCGCCACCGTCATGTTGTTCTGCGTCAGGGTGCCTGTCTTGTCGGAGCAGATGGTGGAGGTGGAGCCGAGCGTCTCCACAGCCTCCAGATGCTTCACGAGGCAGTTCTTCGTCGCCATCTTCTTCGCCGTCAGCGTCAGGCACACCGTCACCGTGGCGAGCAGACCCTCTGGAAACACACACACACACACACACACACACACACACACACACACACACACAGAGCAAAGCCGGAACATGATGAAGATGAGAAGGTGAGACGGTCGGCAAAAAATATGACAGATCACATGCCGCAGCAGCTGCCGCATCACAGGGAGCAGGCATGTGGCAGGCAACGCAACCTCAGCAAGTGTTCGCTCGTCTGACTCACCCGGCACGTTTGCAACAATGATGCCAATGAGGAAGATTACAGAGTCGAGCCAGAAGTAACTGTAATCACATATGTGTAAAACGGCGGGTGGTGGTGGCACGAGGAGACAGCGGGCGGAGTGAGGAGGAGCGATGGCAATTGGGAGCCAGGCATTTGTTGAATTCAAGCAAGCAAAGGTGGGGGGGGGCGCACCCGGTGCCGAGTGAAACTGCGAAGAAGGTGATGCCGAGGAACACAGCAACGGTACTGGCGAGCAAACAGAAGAAAGATCGTTAATGGCAGTGCATGTGGGCCACCATGTGTTTTGTGTGTGTGTGTGTGTGTGTGTGTGTGTGTGTGTGTGTGTGTGTGTGTGTGTGTGTGTGTGTGTGTGCTTTTTGGGAAGCTGACACACGATGAATGCACCTGATGATGTTGATAAAGTGCTGAATTTCGCGGGCAATGGGCGTATCTGGTGATGACGGTACATGGGTCAAGCATGTGCACGGTGAGTCTGTCGGTGGTGGAAGCGGTGCTGTGTTTTGAGCAGTGCTTGATCAAACACATCAGCATACATTGGCATTACACATGTACAGCATTCAACAGACAAACATGCACATGTACACACGCACACAGACACACGCACACAGACACACGATTTTTGCAACCAAACACAACACACACGAACAGAGAGACAGAGAGACACACTCATACATGCATGCACGCACCGCCCGAGTCGACGCCGCTGGCGAGACCGGCGATGCGGCCGAGGACGGTGTTATCTCCGCATCGAATAACAATCCCCGTGCCCGCGCCCTCCACGGCGTTGGTGGAGAAGAAGGCAATGTTCTTCGTTTCGAGCGGGGTGTCGCTCGTGCATTCCGCTGATCGTGACTGCGGCTCCGCCTCGCCAGTGAGGGACGAGTTGTCAACCTGTACATGTGAGTGGAAAATGAGAAAGAAGAGAGGTGGTCAGGGAGGGAAAAGAGCCCTCCGAAAAGTACAATACCACACACACACACACACACACACACACACACACACACACACACACACACACACACGCACGCATACACGCACGCACGCACACACGCACGCACACACACACACACACACACACACCATCACACAACACCTTGAGGCCGTGCTCGTCGATGATGCGCAGGTCGGCCGGGATGCGGTCGCCGGCCTTGACTTCGACGACGTCGCCGCGCACCAGCTCCTCCGCATTGAGCACCTCCAACTTCCCGTTGCGGTGCACGCGGGATTTCTGCGGCTGCAGCTTGATGAAACTCTTCATCACGTCCGCAGCGCGCCGCTCCTGCATGTACGAGAAGCAGCCCGTCACAAACACGACGACAGCGAGGACAATGCCCAGGTACAGGTTGTCTGCTGGCACGCGGACGCCGGGGTCCGCCTGCGACACCTGGATCCCGTATGCGATGAAGCACAGGATGGCGCCAATCCACAGCAGCGTGGCAAACCCGCCCACCATCTGGCGAAGGAACTTGATCCACTCCAGCGTTGTTGGCGGCGGGCTGAGCACGTTCAGGCCCTCCCTGCCCCGAATGGCCTCCACCTGCTCCGTGGAGAGGCCCTGCGAGACGTCGGTGATGCCGAGGCGCCTCTGAAGTTCGTGCAGCGGGATGGCGTGATCATCCATCACCACTTCCCGCTTCAGATCCTCTAGGTCCGGCTTGCCTTTCTGCTTTCGCTTCTTCTTCTCCAACGCTGCAATCACGCAACACAAGTGTCAGAGAGAGAGAGAGAGAGAGAGTGTGTGTGTGTGTGTGAGTGAGGATGTGTGAGTAAGTGAGTCAGCATGAGTGTGTGCATGTGTGCGTGTGCATTTCTGTGTGCATGTGTGCGTGTGCACTTTTGTGTGCATGTGCGCGCGTGCATGTGTCAGTGCGGGCAGAAATGCGAAGAATGGGATCATGCAGACGTTTGGCGCGTGTGCTGTTGATGGCATGTGTTATTCATGCCACATGGATCACCTGTTGATCGCAGTAAGCTGCGTTGGAGGGACTTTTTCATCTGGGCACTGCGCTGGCTGGCCGTGAGCGCTCGCGCCTGCGTGGATTCAACAGAATCATCCTCTATACCCACAGGCAAGCATGCGTGTGTGCGTTAGGCGGCGAGTTGTCAACGAAAGACACATATACACATGACAAAAACGCGCATGTGTCGAGCACCATCACCAACAAGGAGCACGCTCAACCAACAACCAAACGCGACGCAAACAACACCCCCCCCGCC